TAATAATTTTTCAGGTCTCGGTATCAGTGCTTACGATCTTTCAGTTGATATGCTGGATGTTCATGCCGATCGGAATACTTTCCATCGTTTTGATAAATTTAACACCAAATATAATCCTGTTGGTGAGAGTACGCTGCGTGAGATTTTCATTAAAACCGATAACTACGTTGGAGGAAAATATTTTGCTGATGTTTTGAAAGTAAATATTTTATCTACATGAAACACTATCTAAGCTATTACTTTTTTAAAATGAAACTCATATAATTCTGTATTATTATTTTCCGCCTCTTACAAAGTTTTCATCATACTTCCAATTCATGAAATTTGTTTTGAGTAGTTTAAGTCTCACCTAATTTTTCTTGCAGTTTCTTAACTAAGTTTTGAAAGTTTCTAATTTGTGAATGCATAAGTTGAATATCTCATTTCAGGAGGTTTTATCTGATTTGGAAGATAGTAAGTACCAACATGCCGAACCGCGTCTGTCGATCTATGGGCACAATAAAGAGGAGTGGGACAAGTTGGCCAAATGGGCTATTGAAAATGATGTTTATTCAGTGAATGCACGATGGTTAATTCAGATTCCTCGTTTATAGTTCGGTTTTACTGGTTCTCATCACTTATCGTTTTTAAAAAAAAACCAAGGATATTTTATTAACTTTAAGAAGCACAAGTCAAAATATTTAAAAAAATTGGAAGGGCACACAATGAGAAGGTAAGTGTGAGAAAAGAGATCTTCGCCATGATCTTTTGATGTTTTCAATTTTGCAAATTTTCGACTTTTTAATGTTCATTGATGGTTTAGCGATGTTTATCGTTTGAAAAAAATGGTAAAAAACTTTGACGAAATGCTGGATAATATCTTTACACCACTTTTCGAAGTGACAAATGATCCGGAATCTCATCCACATCTTTTTCGATTTCTACAGCAGATTTCCGGCATCGATTCCGTTGATGATGAGAGCAAACTTGAGCATATAAAAGTGAGTGATATGCTAGAAAAGTACTTTAATTCTCTTGATAGATAGATGCGGACTTATATCATGCTAATTTATTTAGCATTAGAACGATACCTTTAACATCAGTCGTATTTTTTCAACGAAGATATTAAAATTCGAATCTTAGAACTCATCTAAAGAACTGGAAATTTTATGCAATTAACATTTGCCGTTGTTGTTTAGTCATAACAGTTGTTATAATTATATGTCTAAAAAAGTTGTTTTCTGTAATAGATTAAATTTTCTTTAATATCACTTAAAAAACAAAGTGAGATTACATACGTAATCAATACGAAAATTAGCAATAAAATTTTGAATTGATTTCAAAATGGAGTTGACTAAAATAGAAAAAAGTTGAAGTATTTTCTCTACTGCAGTTTGATCGTTCAACACCGGAACCGAAGGATTATTGCGACGCCGAAAATCCATCATATGACTATTATTTATTTTATATGTTTGCGAATTTAGTAACACTCAATGCACTGAGGCGGTGAGTGGTTTTTTTTTGTTAGTTTGGAATTTTTAGTTATTTTGTTTTTATTAAAAATTAACTGAAACATAGCATGCGCTGAGATTTCTTTTATCAAAATTTTTGGAATCAAGGTTTTTAATGCAGTGCCTTTTAAAGAGTCAAAACATTAAAGAGTCATTTCAAAATTTTCAATTATCGGTATTCTAAAACACAATCTTGTTCATTCAATCTGTGTGGAGTATTGAATGATAGTTGAGTTGACCTTTCTGTCTAATCTAGCTCAAGCTCAAAGTGCCAGGATAATTCAAAATTTAACTAAACAGGCATTTTAGGGAACGTGGCCTAAACACCTTTTCGTTACGGCCGCACTGTGGTGAAGCTGGACACGTGAGCCACCTCGTCACGGGTTATCTGACGTCAGAGAGCATTGCGCATGGCCTATTGCTTCGCAAAGTTAGCTCAATTCAATTACCTTAAGTTTTAGAATTTAAATTTGATATTCATCTATAGCTCATTTCTTCTATATTTTCAGGTACCCGTTTTACAGTACTTATTTTACTTATCTCAAATTGGAATTGCAATGTCACCGCTTAGTAACAATTCGTTGTTCATCAGTTATCATCGGAATCCTTTACCAGATTTTCATATGAAAGGGTTGAACGTATCTCTATCAACTGATGATCCCTTACAGTTTCATTTTACCAAGGCAGTTTATTTTAAATTCATACTTCATAACTTTCTTTTTTTTTGAAATGTCTGAAATTTTCGAGAACCTAAATGGAATAAAGCTTGAAACTTTTATTTTGTGGAATAGCAGCTCTAAATAACACTATGAAAAAACCTGTCATTATTGGTTTAGGAAGCACTAATGGAAGAATATAGCATTGCTGCCCAAGTTTGGAAGCTCAGCAGCTGTGATATGTGTGAATTAGCGCGAAATAGTGTACTGCAAAGCGGTTTTGAAGATAAGGCAAGTTTGTCACCCCGAATATTTCCACGCTTTTACATTATAATTTCATGAGTTATATGATATACGACAGTTTATAGTTGGTATCAAATTTCTGGTCACTTTTTAAAAATAAATTTCAGGTGAAAGTACACTGGCTAGGACCAAACTACAAAGAGGAAGGAGTATTAGGAAATGATATCTCACGTACAAACGTTCCTGACATCCGTGTTTCATTCCGTCATGAAACATTGGTAGATGAATTATGCAGTTTATTTCGAACACTTAATATTCAGCATGTAGGTAATGATGATGATGATGGTGGTCTGAAAATTTAATCTTTTTTTAATTTTGCAGTTGCTTTTTAAAAATCTAGGCACTGATTTCGGATTCTAAATAAATTTCAAGTAGTTCTAAGTTACTTATTGATATTGGGATAATAATGCAGGTTAAAAAGCTATCTGCAGAGAGTGCACTTTAAGAAACATTATGTGTTCCGAGTAGGCAAAAAGTGGTTGAAAATAGGGAAAAAGTTTTTTAGCTGTTAAATTTCTGCAAAATAAAATTGTTCTTCCCGTTTTAGTTAACTTTTTTTTTTGTTTCTAATAATCATGAAAAAATTAATTTTAAGCCGATTATTGTTATCATGCGACTATATTTTGTAATATGTTTTGTTTATTTTTGTTTTTAAATGTATTGAGAAATTTATATGTTTCTACTCGTGTTCTTACTGTTGGGTGCGCATTTTATGGGAATTTCAGTGGTATATTTGCGAAAGTAATTATAGTGAGTATTTCAGTACTGACAAAGCCTATTTTTTGTCCGAAGTTGAAATTAATTTTAAAGCACAGTCGAGGCATTCCGTGGTATACACTCTACAGTTAGAATGTTTTTACGATTATATCGCATTCAATTCTGTTGCAACTTCAAATTTACTTTATTGTTTTGAAACTACTGTTTGTGTGATAAGGAAAGAATTATCAAGACCTGAAATGACTTCAATTAAATATGTTACAAATAAAGTATCAGAGTGACTGAACCAGAATTTTTCTTCTGATTGGTGTTTGACAAAGCTTTAATTAAAGATTTTATTGTTGGTTGTTTTGGATTGCTACAGGATTCAGTTCCATTATCAAATATTCTGTTCATAGTTCATAGAGATAATATTTGTGATATAAGAAAATTCCGAGAATTATATGATTGTATTAGTGAGTGGAATGGGTAGCAGCTCGAAAATAACATCAATAGTGGGATAAATTAAGGATTTTGAATTAATCTTTAGAAAACTACAAATCGGTATTACTAATTCTTCAATAATAAAATTTGCAACCATATAGAAAGTTCATGTTTTGGACGCTAATTACCTAATGATAGACCTGCGTGCCCATCATCTTTCAAGAATATTCAAGTTATTTCAGTCTTTTCCAGGTTATTAGATAAGAAGACTTCAGTAAGGTAATTTGCAAAGTTTAGTTTTTCACTCAGCAAATAATTTCAGTAATTCAGCTTTTTTCATCTAGCATCATCTTATAGTATTAATCGTTATACCATTGTTATTATTTCCTGACAAATTACTAGTTAGTTCATTTGTATCTGGAAGATCCGGATTATAACTGTAATCATCGTTATTCTCAATTCCATAAGAACATATGAATAGTTTAGTAAAAAACACGTGCATATACGTTGTATCTCATCTAATTATTATATTGCTTTAAATTTAATCTATTAGATTTTTAAATTAAATTATACATATAATATTCATGCTGCTATAATAAAAACATTTCAGACCATTCTAAACGATCACTTAACTGAGACTGACTGATTGATGAAAACTTATTCTGAACAGCTGCAAATAAACTCCAGTCGTGTTATCGGTTGACTTTCCTGCAAGCTGTTCAGCAAAATAACTTTTTATTTACTACTCTGCTCAACAAAGTAGTTAATTTTCGAGAAATACAATCATTCTTAGTGCTGCCAACATAATAGTTAGTTTGGTCTCGTTGCAAGTGATGCATTACGGAATTCTTCAACAACATACATTTAAGTTCTTTAAGATATTAAGGAATCAAAAATTTTTTAATAACATACATTTAAACAGAGTTCATCATTAATATTAAATAATCTGAATTTCAAATGATAGATTTCAAAAACGGTCATTAATTCTTTTTGATTCCTTAATATTACATACCGGAAGAGTTTTTAATCAATTTTCCTAAGATTTTAAATCCTTTGATGTATAGGAATTCATCCTGCCACATAATGCACCCATTAGTGAAGTTGCGTTAATCATTATGATGAAAAATCGAGCATTTATTTGCATGATAATTTTTAGGTTATAAAAAACTATTTGATGAAGATGATGAAACAATAGTTCTGTTCAGAAAACAAATTTTATAACGAATTGTATGCTAGACATTTTATAACATCACTAGTCGGACATTTGAAACGTTTTTTATGCTCCGGTTTATTTAATCCTATCTACGCCCAGAAATTGTACTAGAAACTTGATTTACTTGATTTAAACAGTGAAGTAACAATTAAACCATTACTAGCCCCAATCTCAGAACAAAATATCGAATTGAGAATTCTGGTGTTTTATAGGAACCCAAAAAAGTGGATTTATTGATATACCAGAAGGGTCGTTGCAGCTGGCATGGTAATGATAAAGTAATCCAACAGGAATCTCTGCAACATATAATTTGAAATTTATTATGTTTGAATTTTTGTATTTTAATTTCAAATTCGATGTTAAGTAAAAAATAGGACTACTTTAAAAAATAACAAGAGTACTGGACAATTAAACAAATGCATAAACAAACAAATCAATTAAACAAATAAAGGGATATAGAACAAGAGATTTTATACATAGCAAATTAATGGGCTCACTAGATTTTGAAAACAAAAAAAAAAGCATGCTAGCTAAGGAAAAAGGATTTTCTGCCAAATTTTGTTCGGAAATTGAAAAATAATTACGCTCTCCGATTTAAGGCCGAATCGTTTTTCTTTTGCTAGATCTAAATCACCACAAATCATGAAAAATATATAAAGATTTGATTGCTTCAATTCATACTAATTGACATCACAATTTCTGCAACAATTGAAAGAATTAATTTAAAAGTCTTAGAAAGGAATGATTTTTGACGTGATCGCAGAAGCAATTCGTGAATTTTTCAGTCTTTCGTTGCTAATGTAATTGTTCTCGATTTTTTGCATTTGCATGATGACATTTAATTCTTATCAAAATAAGATAATATGCATCTTCAATAAATAATACAATTAAATGTGAACAAATAAATGTCGTAACATGAAAAACAAAGTTCACATAAATATAACGGAGCAAACAAACTCAGATAATAATAAGTGAAAAGTTCATATCCAGAAATTTCTGCAGTAGTTTTGAAGAGACAACCTTCATGAAGCACACAAAATGAACAGAAGAATTAAGATAAATTCAAACCTACAGGTTTTTTGCATGCTCAGTGATGAACACAGAAAAAATAAAACACAAACAAAAAATGAGCATTATAACAGATCTAGTCAAATAAAATTGTTAAATTCAATTAGCACCGACTTTTGAAAAGCATGAGAAAGAATATTAAACAATATCTCGTAACCAAAAAAGCTAACAATTAAGCGAATAAAGATAAGTTTTCTTTTCTCCTGATTCAAATTAATTTTAAAAAAAACAAGGATTTAATGGCGCACAATTGGAATTAAAAATTATATAATAAAAATCATTTTGACAAAAAACTATAACCACAAGTGATTTTTTTCGGTTACTAAAAATCATCAGTCCTCCGCGTTTCCCTTGGCTATACCATCCACTTTTTCCCTTAATTTATGAAAAAAATTTTTTTTTAACTAATGTAAGAAATCAGTATTAGTGTTTATAACAATATGATAATATCTTCAAATAGCCGAGTCTTCTACTTTTAACGCATGCATACAAACCGCCGTAAAGAATCTCAGTTAAATTAATTCACCATAAATACGAATCAGGGCTTCATCAATGAAAAACATAGCAATAATTTGAAAAACAGTGGGATGAAGTCTAAATTACCACTATTGGAAAATTAACATGAATTACATGGTTATGATTAGTAAAGCAGCAATTAACACTTCAATTAATCAACGAGAGATCTTCACAACGACCGCCTAAAATTAGACAAGTTATACATGCAACATCTTTCATTAATAATTTCAGCACAAAATATTGCGTCACAGTTTAATATGTTTTCTGATACAAGTTCCAGAACATAAAGGGTAGAGGAAAGCGCCAAATTAGCACAGACATATAAGGCATTTTAATTTTTATAAACAAATAATTTACAAACAAAGAAATCTATTATTATTTCGAAATTAACGATTTTGTCTTAAAAATACTTAAATTTTAGCAAAGGTCCTGATTTCCTCTTTTTAATAAGTTCCTTACTTTCTCGATAATCTACAAGAGTTATTTGTCCATTTTCTCATGTCATTCAGTTCCACACACTTTAATTTTGAATTCTAAAACAATTTCCAACTCTACCAAAGAATTAAATCTAAAATGAAGAAACATACGCAGTGAGACGATCAACAGCTGCCTGCAATTCAGATTCAGTCGCCTGAGGATATGCAACAGCAGTTAACAATTCAACAATAAATTCGTCACATATACCCGGACAATTCTTTTCCGCTTCTTTAAAAGCCGCAGCGACAGCATCCAGATCACTGCCCGAGTGACGAGTACGTGCCAGTCGATCCAAAGCCGGCAGTAATGTGTGCTCCAAAACACCCTTCAAAATAGCTCAAAATTTTCCACTGTGACTAACAACAATATTTTAAACCAAATTAAATAACCAAAAATACAATTATAAACTTTGCCCGCTTTTTATTTTATTCAATCAATCAAAATAGTTTTTGCATCATGCAATTAAGGCTATTTTTTACTTAACTATGTTAGCACCTAACAAGTAAATTATAGATCCCGAAACAAGCTGTTGAAGCATCAAGACGAACCTTTCTCCTTGGTTGCTCATATATTGGCTCATTCGTTTGAGTTGAAAGATGATTACTTTGGTGAAATGCGGATGTTCGATAGGCAAGAATGTTTGTTGATGCATTTCCAGTAATTTGTGAAGATGTATTACGACAGCGCTGTGCAGCTCCTTGCATATTTGGAGGTGTATCGTTGATTGAAAACGAATGGCGAATTAGTGATGAGGTCTAAAGATTATTCAAAAATTCAGCTAGCATAGATCTATAACACAGCAAAATTTATAATCTGCTATAGTATATTAATCTGTCAAGAAGATGGCTGAAAGCGAGCATATAAACTGAAGTCAATTATTTCTTCCAGTCACTCCTAAGCTTCATGATTTTAAGATGCAATCAATATTGTGAATAGCGTAGATTCTTAAACAACAAATCATTGATTTTCATGTCTTTATCAGTGTGAATTTACTTTCTTATTACTCTTTTTTTTTTGCAGTTTTGGTTAGCAAAATTTCTCCGGGACTGAAAATTACGGGTGAAGGAAAAACATAAAATATAAAATCAATGTATAAATGCAATAAACATAAAATAAACTTCTAAATTCGAACAAAATCTGTTTTTGAATATCAGAAAATAATAAGCATATTAAATATCAAAAAATAATAAGCATATTTGATTTCGCGGTTGCAAAAAAGAGGACATAATTTATGCATTATGTTTTAAAATAAGTTATACTAATTTCTGGCTAATAATGTGCAATCATCATTGCAATTTAAAATATTCGGATCACAATAAGCCTCATTATTTTAAACTATCAACATAGCTTCAATTCTAACCTGGTACAGAAATTTTTTAATGAGATTTGCAAGGTAAACATGAATTATTTACAGATTCAAGTAAAGACAGTAAACCGAATTTTAACTAGTTGAAAAATTTGGAAAGCTAAAATAAAACCAACAGGTGAACTTGCTGGCGATGAAACGGCTATCGTTGTAGCGTTTCCATTATGCGCCACTTTAACATCATTTGCAAAAGGACCCGTGTTAGCATAAATAGGCGATGAGTGGTTGATGCAAGTAGAGGAACTTGTAGGACGCAATGATGTTTGGCGAAGCTCGTGAGCTATTTGAGCCACATTCTATAAAAAGTCGTTACTATATAAAATAAAAACTGTGAACAAACTTTTACAGTGGTCCAAGAGATCCAAAAATATTTACTTAACGGAAAGATAAAATTAAACGAAATAGTTTGATGATTAATGTAACTAGCTCTTCTAAAACAGCATGATTCCTAACATGACAAGCACGACGTGACAAGAATTAAATAGCAGCTTCACGCAAAGCGTATCGTTCACAATAAAAATCACAGATAAAATTCAGAAAAACAAAATTTTAAAATCAATTTTTCTTGAAAGTAAAGCAGAAAATTCGAAATCCAGGATGGAACAACTTACAGAATTATTTCTGTTAATGATTGTAGAGTTCGGACTCATTTCTTGACCTCTCGACAAATGAGATGTTGATATAGATGGTCTTGTAATGTCACTCTTTACTCTTACAGTATTCTGGTCGTTTGTAAGATCGCTTGTACTCTGTGGTGTTTTTATCGTATTAAACACCCAGTCAGTCCTGAAAAAACAATGATTAAATGTTATTTTAAAAAGCTGAAGCATGATTAGATTTTAAATTTCAATTTTTGAAAAAATTTTTCAACATATTCAGTTTTAATACTTAGAACAATAGGATTTTTTAAGAAAAATCTGTTCGTCTCAACATTCGCTGTTCAAAGAAATAACACAAAAGACGAAAAGAGAAATCTGATTAAGGATAACTAATATATTCAAAAGAACTTTGCCAGTGGAGTCAAGAAAAAGATAAAGTACAAAAAAAAATGTTTCAAATCATATACCCGCCACTATTATCAGCTTCTTCATCTTGATCTGAATCGCTACTTGGTCCAAGTCTCGCTTTGTAATCCGCACTTCGTTCAATCAGATCCATCAGAATTGAATTTTTCTTCGCTCTTCTGATGAACGGATGCTTCAGTAACTCTTTCGCAGAAGGCCTCTGAGATAAACTTTGAAAATGAACTATGGACACGTTGAACTATTATTGGTAAATCGATGCATATTTATCTTCACAATGTTAAACATCGACATCATACAACTGATGGGCGAACAGTGTAAATAATCCTATTAGCTACCATTACCTTTTGCATACACATGATTCACCATTACAACCCTTATTGTATACCACATAAACAACAGCAACTAACATTTTCTGGATCTTTATTCAAGCATAATTCGACAAAATCCTTAAACAAGCGAGACCAATGAGATCCATTCAATTGTGGTGGAGGATTTTTAGGTATCAAAAATAACACACGCATTGGATGCAAATCTGAATGCGGTGGTTCGCCATTTGCCAATTCAATGGCTGTAATGCCTAAACTCCAAATATCTGCCTAAAATTGAAAAAATCGTAAATAAAAACCAAATTAAAAATTTTTTTGCTTGAATGAATCAAAAATGATTTAAAACGATTTATAGCTATATTACAATATCTTCATACAGGTTGCGAAGAGAAAGAATTAAACTTCAAATCTTTCAGTTTTTCAAAGTTGGAAGACAGGGAATCAGATATAAAAATATGTAAATTTGTAAACTTACTTCACTGTATTAGGACAACAGAGAGATCTTAATTAAGAAAGAGATATCTTGGCATCCGTTTAGTGTCACTTTTTTGAAATGGACCTTCTGTTGCAACAAAATAGGGAAAAACTGGTCAATAAAAGAATAAAAATAGATTAACGGAAAGTCGAAAACTAAAAAACCTTGAAATCATATGAAGCTTGCCGAATCACTTCAGGTGCCATCCAGAATGGTGTCCCTACAAATGTAATTCGCTTTTTCACTGTTTCTGTTAGTTGTCCGGCGACACCAAAGTCTGCTACCTTCACATCACCATGTTCGGAGAGTAAAACATTTGCAGCTGAAAAAAGGAACCCAATGGATTGTTTTCAAGTTTACTGATCGTTGGATAAAACAAAAAGTGGACAAGAACACAGCATATAATGATATAGATTATAGTGAAGATTCCCTCTAAAAGTTAATATACCACAGGTAAGTTACCTCAGTTATTGTCAACTATTCCTCTATTTCTGAACGAGACCTATTTTTATGTGAGAAAAGAGCAAATTACTTTGGAGAATAAGCAAGCATTAATAGTTTAAATTATTTTCACAAAAAATTCATTTTCTAAACACAATAATGAATTTGAAAATGATGAAATCTTTGATCCATAAAACTAAAGATAATATTTAACCAAGAAGTTGTAAATGGCATACGATCCGAACATTAACAGCACGGTTATTTTATAAAGCTTAATTAAGAAGTCAGCAAAAGTCCAATAAAATGTCTTACTATTACAAGGGATAAAACAGATTAAATAGAAAAAGTATTTAACAAAAAGCAAAAAACAAAAAAATTCAATGGCAATAGTCATGTTCATTTATTCTATTAAAATGCGATTTCATTAAAAGATACCCACAAGAGAGTTTGGTGGCAACTACAAGTACAGCATTTAGAGATTACCTATTTCAAGTTGATTCTTGATATAATATAAGGTATGTAGACATAAAATGCAGAAAGAAAATTGATACTCACGAATAGACTTCTTTTAAACGACACAGAAATTTCACATCGTTTTTTGTTTGAAAAGTAATCACTTAATTGTACAAATCCTTCCCAATCATTCAGAACGAATTACCAAAATCTCTTTTTGCTTTATTCTTTATTATATTGATATCTGGTTGCACGTCAAAAGCTGGTTAGCTACTTTAATGCATGTTCGATTAAAAGTATATTTGCTGTTATGTAAGACGGAAAAAATTATATCAAATATAATAACCAAGAAGTGTCTATAGTTCCTTAATTAAATGTGTCACGAAAGTTTATAGGAAGTATTCTTTTTAATTTAACAGCATTTTTGATTCAGAAGCAGCTATCAAAATATAGAGGAAAGCTCCTCGCAAATTCCTCAAATTTCTCGCATTTTAGTATAACTACAAGTTTCTATGCTATCTTTTCTTTTTTTCCATGAAAAGTTATGCTCTTAAAGTTTCAAATGATGACACTATATATGAATAACTATAATTTTAATATGGGATGACGAACAAACAAAGATGCATTTAAAATATATACTTCAAAAAGAGAATCTCAGGAAGTCACCAAAATGTCAGAAGCGTAGAAATAGGAATCCGAAGTCAAAAGCTAATAGAGTTAGTAACATCATAATTATGAATAATGTAAATAATTCACATCACCTAAATGCAGAATCAAATAAGTACTCTACAAAGCTTGCAGCATTGCAGCATTTTATACTATATCGATATTAAAAAGAACAAAAAACTAGAACCTTTAATATCTCGATGAATTTTCCGCTCAGAATGGAGATACTCTAAACCCTTCAATATTTCGCGCAGAATTACAGCAATATGACTTTCTTCCAATTTACCACATTTTGTTAGATCCAACGCAGAACCACCACCCAAATATTCCATTATTATCCATAACTTGGATTCCTGCAATGAACTTTTAAAAAAGTGGAAATAATAATGATATCAAGATAATTTCATATACTTTTGATCAGTGCAATAGAGTCTATCATGTAATCGAAAAATACTGCAGTGTAACATACTAAGTTTCATGTTTAAAATATTCTGAATTCAAAGGACAGAATCCTTTTGAATCGGCAACGATCGATAAGCGCTTATTACAGAAAATATTAAAATCCACTCACAAATATAAGTTCAATCTCTACTTCAAGCACAAGTCACTTTTATCATCCATTAATCTACTCGTAAAAAATTGCCAATTCTCCAGAAATCCTTCAACTTATCATCATTCCAACAGTATTTCTGCACCCATTTATGAATTTAATAATTCCGAAAAAGGAAATTTCAGAAAACTAAAATGGATCGTACACTCAAAAATATATAATTACACGAACCTTCAAATACGATCCGTAGTATTTTGTGACGTATGGTGAATCACACTGACTAAGTACCATAATTTCTTGTTGTATATCCTCAATTTCATCCTCAGCCTTCTCCAAGTCAATTATTTTTATTGCAACTACCTGTAAGAAAAAAGTTGGAGTTTATGATATAACTTAAAATAATACTTTAAAAATCTCAAATTCTTTTTACCTCTCAATCCTCTCAACTCAACCTCTCAACCTACCTCTCAATCTTTTCAGTAATTAAGAAACATTTAAATGTGCATAAAAGTATCAATTCAAAATTCATGGCAAATTCCGCGAACCTGTCCTGTACGATTATCAATTCCTTTAAAAACTTCGCCAAATGAGCCGCGTCCAATTTTTTCCTGACGTGTAAACAAATATTCCGGATCAAGTTTCTGTAACAAACGAACATATTCGTTGTCATAAACGTGATTCGATTTACATTTATTTTAATTTGCACAGTCACAAAAAAACTGTAGTAGCTAAATTCTAAATGTTTTAAACCAGCTGATTATTCGTTCGAGAAGCTATGGTTACTAACAAAGTGAAAAACAAATAAAGGAGCGTGTCCGGCATCCCTGCGTCTTACAAATTTGAAATGTTCAATTTTTAAGCATGCTTTTAAACTTGCATTTTCAATGATGTCTAATTTCGGAATATCTTAGTGAACTTCATCGGATTTAATCATCTACATTTTGGAGAATTTCTTATGAAGGTAACAACTTTCTTTCAGGGGAAAACAAAAACTTTCAATTTATATTATAAAACTTCAAATATACTTCAGTATACTACGAAGAGTTGTAGCACCAGTAAAAAAGAACTACAAAAAAGAATAAAGAAACGGAATGAGAGACAAGAATGCTTATAATTTAGATAACTCAAACGTACTAATAACAGACAGTATAACTTCTGCATCAAGCCTTTATAGGTGTGCCATTTGTAGAAATTTGGGAAAATTTCATGATTATCGTTACCTCAATAAATAAATTTGTTTTGATAATGTAGAAAAAAAACAGAAGAATCATCCAAAATTAACTTAAAAAGATTTGTAAACACAGGCAGCGTAACCAGCCTATGTAGTCGTGTTTGACTTGCGATTGCAATGTATGCTCTTTCAATTTATGCTACTTAATTCAGCGATCCGAAAAACACAAAGCAATGTTAATTCAAAATATATGTTCATTTTTGAGTTAAAAATCGGCATATTCATGTCATAAATCCTTTGGTTTATTCGGAAATTCAATAAAAGCAACTAACCCAAACGAATCTGAACATTCTGGAACAAAGCTGAAGAATAAATGTAATTTGTGTAAGACAGTAATGTCGAATAGATTGTAATTTGATAACCAAATCTCAACGCAAAATACACATACCCATATTGAGTGACTAAATGGTGCATAGAAATACACACATACTTTCTTTCGAAATGCCGTGGATCAATATAGCATAATATGTACACTATTAGTAGTAGCCAATGAAATATATTTAAAAAGAATGCAGTGGGTGCCACTTTGAAAAGATAATAACCAGTAGGATCAGAAAACAAATGAAAAGTGAAACGAACAACTTCGCCAACTCTTACCGCAGGAGAGAAGCGAACTGCGAGTTTTTACATTAATTTATAAATGATTGCTAACGCACAAAGTATATATATGTAATTGGAATTTGTTTTGCCAAAATTTATATGCACAGAAAAAATCCCAATTGAATCGAATCAGTTTTTTCAAAAATATGGTTCTAAGGGATGAAATGCAAACAGTGTGAGATATTGGCTTATGCCGGATAGAATGTAAAGGAATGATGAATAATGGAAAGAAATGCACACCGAAACCGGTGTAGTACACAATGATCCCGTAATGGCATTAATATGAAAATCAATAAATTAAAAAATTTAAAATGATGAAATATATATATATATATATATATATCCATTTAAAAAGAATGAAACTGAAAAAACCCACTTATAATCTATTGTTTCCCGGTAAATTAAATGCCCAGCTAATTTAATCTCAGTAAATAAATTCAGTTTGCAGGAAAATATATGAAACAGTTTGTGAGTAGAGATAAGGTGCTTAGCGGGACTTGTTTCCAGTTTTTAATGAAAGATTCTAAAAAAATAAAAGAAAAACAAACAAGAAAAAATAACATCACTGAAGAGTTTCCAATACTGGAAATGCATCTTCGAAGCATTCTCTTCCAAATTATATGATAAAAAAATCTTACTTTCAATTAGCAAGCCATTAGGTATTAAATTGTTCTTAACCACATAATTACAATGAAAGTCTACTAATCACATCAATTCAAATACTATTTTTTTTTCCTCCAAAGTTTTTTAGTATGTTGACTAGATAGTTTTCATTAAGTTAGAATTTATTTGTTACTATGCATCTCAACTATCAATGTCTCTAAAATATACCTTCTCCAGTTTGGAATTTAAATCACAGGAAAATGCGTTCTGAATAACATTTATCTGTTAAACTGTATTTTTCATTTAAAAAAAATAAAGGAATTGCCGTTGATGATTTATAAGAAAAAAGAGAAACAAAAAATCTGGTAGAAATACGAAAACCTAGAGAAGTAAAGTAATAAGACTTTAGATCTTACATTCTCCTACTATACTGTGAAATACGAAATTTTCATCAATTGAGATCAAAGCATACATGTTTTTATCTCCGAAAATTGCACTCAAGATAAAGGACCATCAGAGTTGAAATCGCGAAAATCTGAAAATGCGCTGCTTAATTTTAAAAAATAAACATGCCATTCCAATCAGATTTTTTTCATCATTTTAATGGCATTATCAATATTATTTTATTAGCTTCTCTAATACCATATGATCCTATAATGGAGTGAAAAACAAACAAGCATTGACTTCGGCCGCTGATATGATTTTATGCCGATCGACATGATAACAAGTTTAAAATGATTTTAAATAGCATAAGCGAGTAGATTAATCAAATCAAGCACACCTTTCATGGATTTTTTAGACATAGCTGGTATATAAATGAGAAAAAGATTACGAACCTAAATTTTGCAACACAGCGAAAACCTTTCCTGTAGGTTTAAGACTATGATTAACTATGATCTAATGCAAATTTCATTTTCTCAGAAAAAAGTCATTATATATATATATATAATGACTATATATTATAACAGAATAGCGAGTCTTTCTTTTTTCTCTACTACAAATAACGTGACACAGCAGTAAGAGACTTGTGCAAGCCAAGTAAGTGAACAAATATTGTATGTATCGAAAATAATATTTTTTGAATTCTAAAAATATTTTGTGATATAATCAGATGCAGTTAGAAAAAGAGTAAGCATATAAAAAAAATGCGAACGAAGTAGTCTTAGCTCTTGTATAGCAATGTTAGTATCATATTTTACTGATGTTAACCATTAGCTCCCATCATCAAGATCGCTAAAAGTAACGACTGCCAAAATTTATTTTGCTATAGAATGTATTATAAATTTCCATTTATGTTTCGATTTAGATCACGCTTAGTGAGGCCTTATGAATAAAAGCTGAAGAAGCTTAATTTTTTTCCTTTTTTAATTTCAAATCAGCAATGGATGGAAATTATTTGCATGAATTAAGTGTGCAATATACTATGATTATATTTTTCATACTTCCCTTTTTTTTCTTTTAAATATCTCAAAATTTGATTTTTCTACAAATATCTACGTAGGACGGTTAAACTTGTATCTGTTACAATTATTTCCCGAAACATCTTTTGTGCCAATCAATGGTTGATTCCAAAGCTTCTGACATTCGATTGATTCTGCTCAATTTGCCATCAATGAAATTACATTAATAAATGGCACATGAGGAATTATTTCCGTTGTTCCTTTTATCATTTTTTTGGATATTATAAAAAAAAATCAAATATAAGAATTAAAAATGTGTCGAGAATTTTGCCACCACCCAAACAAGTAAATAAATGAATAAAGAGACTGCTATTTGATGAGATGAAGAAAAACAGAAAATGTAAACAAATCTCTCAACATACTGTTACTATGCTATTTTAGATACTTTGTAATCTGGATATCATCTTTAAACTTATTTCAGTTCAACTAAAAAAGTGATAAGATAAAATGCTCCATCACAAAAAGTGGTACATGATACAAACATCGTGTTACTGACGAGATCATATCGTAACCTCATCCTTTCTTGCAGTTTGTAAATTTCTAGTTCAATTAATATATTTTTTTCCTTTCAATCCCTAGTATTATATCACAGATTATAATTTATCCTCCCCGCACAATTAACACTCTGTAAAGCGCTCATGGACTTTTCCTCCCTCTTTTCGTATGAAAGTGAAAAGGTATACAAGGACAAATTTCATGTGAATCATACACAAATTTTTATGTGTGGAGTGTGAAGTGCTCTATTACGATGTACTGTGCATGCAAACGCACATTCACATACAACCCCATATATCAAAGAATACAGCATACACTCACATTTATATTTCGAAAATATTAAACTCCTAAGATGAGTTTCGACTTTTTTAAAAAGTTTCGATTTTTACTCAAAAAATCAAAAAATCTCAATTTCTTCAAATAATTAACTCAGTTCCTAAAGTTACAGGAAAAATACTGCACTCTATATTGTGCAAATGTTATGGATTTTCTTCCTTCTCTTTCACTCGAAACTCTTTCACTCGAAATGCAAAAATATAGGCAACCTTATTTAGGAACACTTGGAAAAACATGTTTCAGATTAACAATCTCCAATTTCTGATGAATATATATTTTTCCTTTCATAAGATGTAATATACTTCTTTTTAGGTCTTCCTCATTTTCATATCAACTTCCAGTTTTCTTCATCTTCAGATATATATTCAAAGTAATTTCTCTCTAATACACTATTAATTTTATCCCACAAAGAGATAACTTTATCAATAAAACCATCTGGAATTAAAGAAGTTGCGGAAGTTAACGGGTTTACCCGACTTATTGCATTGAATTCGCCAAGTTGTTTTTGCTTTGAATAACTACTGAAGAAACGATCGAAACCACCGTCCATAATACCAATGGTTTTTTAACCAAAAATGATTTAGTTACAGTGATGCAAGGACAGAGATAATGACATGGACAATACAGCTTTTGAGAAACTGAGTAGAACGCCACAGAAATGCTATACAAAGCTCTGATTGATATGTCATCGCAGAATGAATCAAAATAGGGCCTCATTAGTTTCTCCTATGCAAATATTGTGGAATGACATAATTTCAAAACTTTTACCTCTAAAACCAAACATCACAGAAAACTGATACATACATTCAAACACGAAAATGCATGGATAGATAAAACAATATGAAGTTCGAAAAAAAATATGATAGCTACCCTCTAACTTTTCTGAAGCAAAAGGATATAAGTATCATTCCATAAATTCACCGATATATTTACAGAACAAATCCATATTTCCTCTCTTTCAAGAAATGAAAGCGTTGGTTTTTTTAAAATTCTTCACGACTTATTCTAATGTTTACTTTCGATAAACAAATTGTAGTTACATAATAATCTGTATCAAAAAATTAGAATACGAAAAAACCTGCCGATTGTCCTGGAAA